AAAAAAAAAAAAATTGCACAAAGTAATCTAGAGGAAAAGATTATAACTATACAACTTTTTATTCATACTTTGGAAAGATCAAAAGGTTATTCACTTACACAAAGAGTCCTTTCCCGAAATTAAGGTTATATCTCAAACATGCTCTTAATCAAATCATAGAGCTTTTAAAAAGCCTAAGGGCACTGTCTGTCAGCCAGCCAAGCAAGAGCTCAAGAAAGAGAAGAGATTATGTGAAATAATCTAGATGTGTGACTTTTGTCTAATGTGATACACACCACTGATATTCACAGGAGAGCCGCAAAGTTTTTGAGAAAACCATTTTAGCAGACACGCTGCCAACTTGGACTAAAGGGACAGAGTGAGTACAAAATGAAGAAAGCTTGTCAGACTTCCAAAACTCTACGGGCAAGAGGCAGCCTGATAAAATGAATTAGCTACAACCCATGCTTTCATAAAAAAAGGAAGCATGATTCAGAGGACGAAACCAGGAGCCCAGAGAATGGAGCAGTGAGCTGCAAAAGATTATTCCCAGGTCTTGAAACTTAATCAAGGAACTCCTCATATTTACCTCGCTGGATTCCAGAATTGCTATAAACTGTGTTTTTTACACCTTCCATCCACCTTCCTTTTAACCATAATGTCCTATAATAATATATAATTTATACTTATAACATATAATTATATAATACATATAATAGTAACTTATCTTTTGCCTTTCCCACTGTTTTATGTTAGACGTGTTGGGGAAAGATAATTTGTCTCGTCTGTAGATGGAGAAAAATTGTGCCCCAGGAGCACAAGTGTACTAAGTGGATTATATCTAGGAACATAATCCACACCAGGAACCAATTTAGATGATTAGATTTTGGAGTTTTTAGGTGATGCTATAATGGGATGAGACTCTAGGAAGCCTGAGGAGGGAAATGAATATACTTTGCATGTGGGAGAATATGTGTGGCAGACTGACTCTAAGATGGCCCCTGCATGATTCCTACCTCTTTGTGTTCATGCTTTTGTGTTCCCCTCCCTTTGACCATGGACAGGACTGTGACTTCCTTTAGAACAGGAGATAACATTAAAAATGATGGGACGTCACCCCTTGATTATGTTGTTACATAAGCTTTTGACTTGCTAGTGACTAGTTCATATAGTCTTTCTTGCTGGCTTTGAAGAATAAAGCTTCCATGAATACTACAGCTACAAAGAACTGTGTGCTTCCAAGTATAAACAAAAGGAAAAGTGGCCCCCTCCCTAGTTGAGCTTCCAGCTGAGAGCCCACTCCTGGCCAACACCTTTATGGCAGCCTTGTGAAACCCTAAACAGAACAGTAGCTAAACTATTCTGAACTTCTTTTCTTTTTTTTTTTGAGACAGAGTCTCACTATGTTGCCCTGGTAGTGTGCCATGGCATCACAGCTCATAGCAACCTCAAACTCTTGCGCTTAAGTGATTCTCTTGCCTCAGCCTCCCAAGTAGCTGGGACTACAGGTAGCCATCACAATGCCTGGCTATTTTTTGGTTGCAGTTGTCATTATTGTTTAATAGGCCCAGGCTGGGTTCGAACTGCTAGCTTGGGTGTATGTGGCCAGCACCCTACTCACTGAGCTATGGTACTGCCTGTTCTGGACTTCTGACTCACAAATGTCTGAGGTAATAAATACATACTGTTTAAAACCACTGTTTGTGATGATTTGTTGAGCAGCACAGTTAAATATACATTTAACCATATAACCCAGCCATTCCACTACTAGGAATATACCTAAAAGAAAAAACAAATTTCCCCAAGCTCTTATACATTAGCGTGCATAACAGCTTTTCATATAATATCCCCAAATTGACAATCCAAATGACCATCCACAGATGAATGAATAAACAAATTACAGTACAACGGATACTTCTCAGCAATAAAAGGGAATAAATTATCAATATACACAATGACACAGATGAATCTCAAAATTACTATATTGGGCTGGGCATGGTGGCTCACATCTGTAATCCTTTTTTTTGGAGGGGGGGAGACAGAGTCTTACTTTGTCACCCTTGGTAGAGTGCCACAGCATCACAGCTCACAGCAACCTCAAACTCCTGGGCTTAAGTGATTCTCTTGCTCAGCCTCCAGACTAGCTGGGATTATAGGCGCCTGCCACAGTGCCCAGCTATTTTTAGAGGCAGGGTCTCACTCTGGCTCAGGCTGGACTCAAACCTCTGAGCTCAGGCAATCCACCTGCCTGGGCCTCCCAGTGTGCCAGGATTACAGGCGTGAGCCACCATACCCAGCCCACATCTGAAATCCTAATACTCTGGGAGGCCAAGGCAGGAGGATCACTTGAGGTCAAGAGTTTGAGACCATCATGAGCTAGAGGGGGACTCCATCTCTACTAAAAATTGAAAAATTATCTAGGTGACATGGTACTTGGACCTATAGATAGGCACAGGAGGACGTGTAGTCCCAACTACTCGGGAGGCTAAGATAGGAGAACTGCTTGAGCCTAGGAGTTTGAGGTTGCTGTGAGCTAGGCTAAGGCCATCATAGAGCAAGATTTTGTCTCAAAAAAAAAAAAAAATCATTATGTTGAGTGAAAGAAGCCAAAGAATACATATTGTATGATCCTATTCACATGAAACTCAACAAATGCCAACTAATCTATAGTGACAGAAAGCAGATCACTCTGTCTGATCACTTTGGGGATGGAGGGATGGAGTCAGGCAGAAGCAGGAGTGAGGGATCACAAAAGCCATCTATTTTGGGAGGTGATGAATATATTCATTTCATGGACTGTGGTAACAGTTTCATGGTATATACATAAGTCCAAACTTGTTGAATTGTACACTTTAAATGTGTCATTTATTGTATGCCAATTAATCTTTAACAAAGCAGTTTTAAAATATATACGTGCCACTTGCACATGGTTTTCCTCATAAATCATTATATTCTTTTTTTTTTTTGAGACGGAGCCTCAAGCTATCCCCCTGGGTAGAGTGCCATGGCATCACGCTCACAGTAACTTCCAACTCCTGGGCTCAAGCGAGTCTCCTGCCTCAGCCTCCCAAGTAGCTGGGACCACAGGCGCCTGCCACAACGCCTGGCCATTTTTTGGTTGCAGCCATCATTGTTGTTTGGCAGGCCCAGGCTGGGGATTCGAACCCGCCACCTTAGGTGTATGTGGCTGGCGCCTTAGCTGCTTGAGCCATAGGTGCCGAGCCAAATCATTATATTCAAAGAAAGCACAAGCTCTAATCATCATAGACTGGACCTTGTTCTTCATCCACTCATTCTCAAATATTTACCAAATACCTACTGTTTCTGTGGGAAATATAAACATGAATCAGACCCACTGATATTATTCATGTGTTATAATAATAAATATATATGTGGTCTCTGCTCCTGGTTCCTGGTGCACAGCTCTTAAAACTGTTGGAATATCCAAAGTGATAAGTTTTCTTTTTGTATACTAATGAGATGACTAGTGGGTGAGGGCTTCTGGCTAGTCTTCAGGATGGTGTGAGGGGGGTGAATGCCAGGGGAACCAACTATATATTTGGGTTGGAAGCTTTTCATCCCTTCCCCTTGACCTTCAGAGAGACAAGAGGGCTGAAGGTTGAATGGATTAGCAATGGCAATGAGTTAAATCAGTTATGCCTTCAAAATCAAGCCTTCATAAAAACCCAAAGGACTAGGCTCCGTGAGCCCTGATTTATAGCTGGTTGGTCAGAAGCAGGGGACAGACATACACACACAAAGGAAGATAAAGAAGAAAAAAAAAAGCAGCAGCACAGGTCACAAGTTGAGGCTTGCAACTGGCATCTAAGGCAAGGGGCAGTCTTGTAGGACTGTAGGCTTAACCTATGGGATCCAATGCTATCTCCGGGTAGACAGAGTTGGGATTGAACTGAATTAGAGGACGCCCAGCTAGTATCTGTTGGATAATCTGGTGTCAGATTTGTTTGGTATGTGGGGGAAAAAACCCTACACATTGGTGTCGAACATTTGGGTTTTTCCTATGTTTCATATCCACCTTTTGCACTAATGTAGTACATAATCTAGGTTTGGAAATCATAAACAATTACTTTTTACATTGTCTTCACAAAGATCCTTACCAGAAGCAAAACCCTCCCAGTGACTACGTGTCAACTGCTCCATACAGCCCACAACCTTGCTCCACACGATGTCAAACACATAAGCAAGGACATCCTCTTTCATGCAGTAAAATGGAACAATGGGAGGATACCCTAATTTCTGTTTCTCTGTAGCTGCTTCTGATTTCTTTCCATGAAATCCCTCTTCCCTGTAACAGAAGCAAGAGGAAAAGACTTCATGATTATTCTTTGCTAAGTGTCCGCCACTGTCCTTTGTGCTTCGTAGGAGTGCAACTGTTACCCTCCAAAAAGCCTCCTTGTTACCCAGCATATGCAGCACATGTATGAAGCTGCCTTGGGAACTAAGAGAGTGCCCCACAGAGAAGACTGCATTGCCCTTTTTACCCCTACCTCATCCCACTGCTCTGCCAAAAAAATGAAGCAAAAGAAGCCTGTGAATTAATGAACATATTTTAGCTTTAAACAGATGAATATTATCAGTTGGACAATCAGCAATAACAATTATAGAAATGATCTTTGCCATAACTGGATAATTGGATAAAATTCAGATTACTATTAATGTGACATTTAACAATGTACATGGAATTGTGCATAATAATTTAATGCAATGATTCATTAGAAAACATTCCACATAAATTATTAAAATTAGTATACATTTACTAAAACAAATAAGCATTTGCTAATAGGCTAAAAAGGAAAAGGAGAGAAATTAAACAGCACAGAAGCTCTTCTTTGGCTTATTTATAGAGACGCTTGTGTCTGTAACCCAGAAACTCTCAGTTAGCCAAGTGCTTCTCTGGCAGGGAGTACCAATAGTCCTGGGGGTCTTTGGGTAAAAAATCTGGTTTGACAGATGGCTTAACTTATAATAGATGTATTATATAAGCTAAGACAAAGTAAATTCTGCAACTGGCTTGGAATAGTGAGAAGTATCGCCAGGCCTCTATGGTGAAAGTTACCCCTAGGGCAGCAGAGGTCTCAAGAATTAACTAGGAAATTGTAGGCAGGAAAGAAAGGTACAAACAAACTCAGAAAAGTAAATGCTGCAAGAATATGTCACCAGTAGACCAGCCCTCCAGGAAATGCTCAACGATATCTTAAAAATGGAAATAAAAGGTCAATATTCATCATCATGAAAACATATAAAAATAGAAAACTCAAAGGTCTAATAAAATAAATAATCACATAAAGGAGGAATAGAAAGGAATTAAATGGCAACATGACATAAGGTCAGCAAACCACAAAGACAAAAAGAGAAAAAGAAAGAAAAAGAATTTATAAAAGTAGAAATCAACTAACAATATAACAAGAACAAAGCCTCACATATCAATATTAACCCTGAATGTAAATGGATTAAATACTCCTCTTAAAAGATATAGATGGATTGGCAGAATGAATTTAAAGAAACCATGATCCAGGCCACCTGAGACGGCTCACATCTGTAATTGTGAGGATCACCTGAGCTCCCAAGTTTGAGACCAGCTTCAGCAAGAGCAACATCCTTTCTCTACTAAAAATAGAAAAACTAGCTGGGCATAGTGATACGTGCCTGTAGTCCCAGTTACTCACGAGTCTCAGGCAAGAGGATTGCTTGAGCCCAGGAGTTTGAGATTACTGTGGATACCAAGGCACTCCTCCCAGGGCAACAACAACAAAAAACATGATCCAACTATATCTGCTTACAGGAAACTGATCTTACGCATAAAGATACATATATAGACTCTAAGTAAAGGAGTGGAAAAAGATATTCCATGCAAATGGAAACCAAAAGCAAGCAGGAGTAGCTATACTTAACTTGTATCAGATAAAACAAACTTTAGAAACAGTAAAAAAAGACAAAAGATCATTATATGATGGTAAAGGGATCAATTCAGCCAGAGGATATAATGATCTTAAATATATATGCACACACATCGGAGCACCCAGATTCACAAAATAAATATTACTAGACTTAAATGAAGAGATAGACAGCAACACAATAAAATCAGGGGATGTCAGCACCCCACTCACAGCACCAGATAGATGATCAAGATAGAAAATGAAGACCTGGCGCAGTGGCTCACACCTGTAATCCTAGCATTCTGGGAGGCCAAGGTGGGTGGATTGCTTGAGCTCACAAGTTTGAGACCAGCCTAAGTGAAAGCAAGACCCCGTCTCTACTAAAAATAGAAAAACTGAGGCAAGAGGATCGCTTTAACCTGAGTTGGAGGTTGCTGTGTGCTATGATGCCACAGCACTCTATCCAGGGTGATAGCTTGAGACTCTGTCTCAAAAAACAAACAAACAAAAAAAAAAAACAAGGATAGAAAATCATTAAAGAAACATTGAACTTAAATTGGACTTTACAACAGATGTACTTAACATTTACAGAACTTTCCACCCCAAAACTACAGAATATGTACTTTTTTTCTTTTCTTTTTTTTTTTTATTGAATGGTAACTATGTACATTAATGCACTTCTGGGGTACAGTGTGGGGTTTTCACGTACAATCCGAAATACTTTTTTCATCAGTACATGGAACATTTTCTAAGCGAGGCCACATTTTAAACTACAAAATGAATAACAAATTTTTAAAAAATCAAAATCATATCAAATAACTTCTCAGACCACAGAATAAAGCTAGAAATCAGTACAAAGAGGAACTTCAAAAACTACACATACATGGAAATTCAACAATATATTTCTGAACCATCACTCAATCAATGAAGAAATAAGGACAGAAATTTAAAAATTTTTGAAAGCACGAAAATGAAAGCACAACATACCAAAACCTGTGGGATACAGCGAAAGTGGTACTGAACGTACAGCATCAAAAAAATATTATAGGAAGATCACAAATTAATAATCTAACATTGCATCTTATGGAACTAGAAAAACAAATCATGCCATAAGTTGGCAGAAGAAATAAAATAACAAAGAGCAGAACTAAATGAAAAAGAGACCAAAAAACAATATAAAGGATCAACAAAAGTAAGTCGGTTCTTTGAAAAGATAAAAATCAATAAACCACTAGCTAGACTAATCAAGAAAAAAGAGATACAAATAAACCTAATCATAAATGAAAAAAAGAGACATTTCAAGAGGTACCATAGAAATATAAAAGATAAGCCTGGTAACTGTGGCTCAAACAGCTAAGGCACCAGCCACATTTCACCTGAGCTGGAGGGTTCAAATCCAGCCTGGGCCCTCCAAACAACAATGACGGCTGCAAACAAAAAATAGCCCGGCACTGTGGCAGGCGCCTGTAATCCCAGCTACTTGGGAGGTGGAGACAGGAGAATTGCTTGAGCCCAGGAGTTAGAGGTTGCTGTGAGCTGTGATGTCACAGCACTCTACCCAGGGCAAAAGCTTGAGGCTCTGTCTCAAAAAAAAAAGAAAAAGAAAAAGAAAAAGAAATATAAAAGATAATCAGAAACTATCGTGCTGTTATTAACAATTTATGCTCAGAAACTAGAAAATCCAGAGAAAATGAATGAAATCCTAAAAATATACAAACTCCCAAGATTTTTTTTTTTGAGACAGAGTTTCACTTTGTCACCCTCAGTAGAGTGCTGTGTCGTCATAGCTCACAACAACCTCAAACTCTTGGGCTTAAGTGATTCTCTTGCCTCAGCCTCCCAAATAGCTGGGACTACAGGTGTCCACCACTACACCTGGTTATTTTTAGAGATGGGGGTCTCACTCTTGCTCAGGCTGGTCTTGAACTTGTAAACTCAGGCAATCCACCCACCTTGACCTCCCAAAGTGCTAGGATTATAGGCATGAGCCACTGCACCTGGCCAACCTCCCAAGATTGAACCAGTAATAAATAGAACTGCTGTATAGACCAATAACAAGTCATGAGATTGAATCAGTAATTAAAAAGAAAAATCTCCTAATAAGAAAAGCTCAGGAGCAAATGGATTCACAGCCAAATCTTACTAGATATAAAAAGAAGAACTGGAATTGTTCCATAAGATCAAGAAGGAGTGATCCTCCGTAACTCATTCTACAAAGCCAGGATCACCCTGATACCAAAGCCAAGAAAGAATGCAACAACAAAAAAAGAAAACTTAGACCAATATCTCTAAGGAACATAGATATAAAAATCCTCAACAAAATACTAGCAAACTAAATCCAACAGCACATCAAAAGGATAATCCACCACAATCAAGTGGTTTTTATCCCATGGATGCAAGGATGGTTCAACATATACAAGTCAATAAACATTAATCACCGCATAAACAGAATTAAAAACAAAAGTCATATGATCATCTCAATAGATGGAGAAAAAACATTCAATAAAATCCAGCATCCCGGCTCGGCGCCTATAGCTCAACCGGC